AAATCAGAAATATATATTATATATATGTATACCTTTAATCAGGTGTTGACTGACTTAATTCAGATATCAAAGCTGATGAAGAGGATGTTTTTCGGCCCTCTTGGTATTTTTTATATACATATAAAAACAGTATGACTGTGCAGATTTACCAGGTTTTTGAAGCTCTAAACTGAACTGTGTCGAGCCTCAGTGAGTAGTAAGTTTCACCAAACTCACTGGTGACATTGTGCAAAGCTGAAATGAACTGGAACAGGATCTAAAACAACCCTAAAACACAGGATACCTGCTCTTTAAACCCTCTGAGTCAGTTACCTTGAGTACATAGCAGAGCTCTCTCTCTCTCTCTCTCTCTCTCTCTCTCTCTCTGTGTGTGTGTGTGTGTGTGTGTGTGTGTGTGTGTGTGTGTGTGTGTGTGTGTACAGCTCCACAGGCCTACAGCAGTAATGTTAACTAACGTGTCACTACACTATAGCATTAACCAAGAAGCACCCCCCCCCCCCCCTCCCCTCCTCCCTCCCCCGGAGTGATAACAGCAGAGAGACCCCAGCTAGCGACCACAGGGACAAAAACAGCTCAATGTGTTCAACCTGCTCGTCCTCCTGCATCGAGGCGGCCAACGGAAGCCCGTCAGCCAGCCGAGCGATCATCGTCAGCAGCACCATCTCTCCGCGATGTCCGGCTGTTCGTCCGCTGTTACAGGTAATGTTACAGGTAAACTGGAACCAGTGTTTGACAGGCTGTACACTGACAACACCACAGGGCTGATACGCTGAGCTGGCCGGAAACGCTAGAGCTTTGTGTGTCACGGTTAAATAAGTCCGTCCTCTCGTTATGCGGAAACAGGTTACTGCAGAGGTTCCGCGTCACTTCGACGTGTGACGTTGTCGATAATGACTGAATGTTTATAATCACTATTGGTACTTTATTATATATATACTTTATTTATTTTAGTGTTTTATTACTATCGGGATCAGATGTTGTGTGAAATTATTACTTCTACATATTTTTTAATTATTCATTAATTAATAATGTAATGTAACATATGTATGTATTTTTATTCGCTTATTTATTTATTATAATTATGATTATTGTTGTAATAATTGTTATATAGCACCAAGAAAGGGTTTTTTTTCCTTTGACCACTGTCTCCAACGTCAAGGAAGAATGTTATGGTTAATAAAAACGGGATAATACAAAATGTACTATATTTATTATGTAAATGTAACGTTGTCTACAATGACTGAATGTTTATAATCACTACTTGTAAAAATTGAAAAAGCTAATAATATATAATAATTAGTGGACCTTGAGTTTCTTGTTATTTTATCATTGACCCTGTCTCCAACGTCAAGAATGAATTTGTACGGTTGATAAAAAGTGAAACAAAAAGAAAAAGATTTACTATATCTCTTATGTAAAGAGTTCAAATGTGTTCTCATTCCAAAATGATTTACAAATTATTATTTGATAAACATTCATGACAAGTACAATTAGTCTGGGTTTGTCAATTTGACCGATTGTTCATAATGATTAGTTAACATGTATCTCACTGAGTGATTATTATTTCTGTCACTTTAAGACAAGTATGAAAATTAGTTAAAAATCAAGCAAAATGTTTTTTTTTTTTTTTTATCAAATCCACCAAGACGCTTGGAAATTATGTCGACAAGACTTTGTATCTTTCGTTGTGAATATAAAACCAGTTTACTTCCAGTCTGCTGATTGCACAGAATGATATCACTCTTGCTTCACCAATGGCTTATTGTCCTTTACACCGTGGAGCAACCAAAGGTCAAAATGACTCATAGATACGTATCATATCGTATAAGGATGAAAACGAGTCAGTTTAAAGTAGTTGTATGTGTGAGACTAATGCAACAGGGGGCAGCATTGTTCACGTTTAGACTTTAGAGAAATCCTCAGTAGCACTGTCTTCTACAACATAAAGAAAGTGAATTCCCCCTTTAAACTAATTGTTTTAAAGCAATTATTTAAGTTAATAATTTCTTAAAAGTTAACTGCTGTTAAATGATGTATCCTATTCCTCCCTTTTCAATAAACTATACATGGAAACTTGTCAAATGGTGAATGTTACAAACAGCAGCATTTTGTTTCATCTGTTTAAAGGAAAATACATTTTCAAGGCATTGCATTTAGTTTTCCCCCAATAAACTGACAATACTATATTTTAAAACAACAGATTGTGATGTAATAATTGATACTTTAGGTACAAAAGGCCAGCGAGAATCTACCCTGTAGGAATTTGTGTGAGAAGTAGAGTTATTGTGTTGCAACTCTTCTCCGAACACATGCACATAGAAACATTTTAAAGCTAATACACAACTAAGTCTGCACTCATAACCAAGCTGTGAGACGGCATGTAGCCATAGTGAGAGTTTCCTCCAATCCACGGTCAGGCTGCTGAGAGATGCAGAGGGAAAGAAAGATCTTTCCAGATCGTTAAACAGTTTGCCAGTCCTTTCACGACCTCTCAGTCTTGCGGCTTGTGAGTGAGTCAGGTGGCGTGTCCACAGGGAGTCACTGTCACAGTCTGCAGCCCTGACACGTCAGACCCACACCAAGTGACCCTCGGCGTCTGCCACTCGGCATGTCTGTTGCCTGTCTGATATTTCCTGGAGGCGAGACGTGGCATGAACAAAGATAGAGATAAGAAGTGTGTATGCCACCATTGGATATTTATTTAATAGAAAACCAGCTTTTTAAAAATGTGGTTGTACTAAATATATTAGTATCATATCATACACATACTATATAATCAGCATTTATTCTGATGTCCCAGGTGTAATGCCTTTAACCCTTTGTGATCCAAACATATTCACTTCATTGCAAATCCAAAAATAATACTTCTGTGATCAAATCCTTCCTTGTTAAGAAGAACTGAACGTTTAGGCTAAGAGGCGTGGAGTGAGTGTGTCTAAAGGGAGCTGAAGAGGACAACAACAGATAGAAATACAGATGGAAAAGAACAATCTACAAGGACGCCAGAACAATGTGGAACAGGAAGGCTCCATCCCCCAACATGGATAGAATTAATATGTCAAAAGTGCTTCATATTAAGATATACAGGAGTAACCTCATGCCACTACTCTACCCTCTATTGTGGGAGTGGCTAACCAAGAATAAACATGTCTGTTACAAAAACTATTCTTTGTATAGTGACTCAACACTTTTAACAACAAGAAACTCCCTCAACGATGTAACAGTGCAGCCATGCAGCACCACTGCTCTGTTGATACTTTGTACATCCTATAAACACTGTAGTTCTAGTTTTAAGTTTCATAATATTGACCATTATATTTATTTCTATCTATGTAAGTTATCGCTTACACCTCAGTTTAGCATCGTCTAATCACCATTTGTTATGTAATGTTCTTTTTTATGTTCCATTGTTTTATTTCCTTCTGCTCCAACAGCCAAGTGTCCTCATGGGGATCATTAAAGTGCCATCCTATATTATCCTCCCCCCCCTTTTTTTGGGCCCCCTTTTTTTTAATGCCCCCCCCTCCTTTTTTTCCCCCCCCACCTTCCCCCCCAAAAAAAAGGGGGAAAAAAAAATAAAAAAAAAATTATTAAAAATTTTTTTAATAAAAAAAAAAAAAAAAAAAATTTTTTACCACCCCCCTTCTTTCAAAAAAAAAAAATAATTTTTTATTTTTTTATAAAAAAAATTTTATTTTTTTTTATTTAAAAAAAAAAAAATTTTTATTTTTTTTATAATTTTTTTTTTTTTCCCTTTTTTAAAAAAGTGTCCTCTTTTTTTTTTTTTTTTATTAATAATATTTAAAAAAATTAAAATATTTTTTTTATTATTTTTTATTCCATATTTTTTTTTTTAAAATTTAAAAAAATTATACCTTTTTTTTTTTTTCCTTTTCCTTTCCTTTTATTTAAAATTTTTTTTAAATAAATTTACGCAACATAGCTAAAATTAGGTCTTCTCTGTCCATGGGTGATGCTGATATCCTAATTCACACCTTTGTTTCAACCAGACTTGATTTCTTGATTTAGTTTAACTGTCTGGTCTGCCACATGATAGTATGCAAAGTCTTCAAATGGCTGTTGGTGAGTGAATAGTCTGTGTGTGTTCTGCAGCAGGCTTTGTCTCAGGATGCAGGTTGTTGTTGGTTATTACAGTGCTGCGGGTGTGTGTGTGTGTGTGTTGGGAGACTGTGAAGTCAAGTAGTCAAGTCAAGTCAATTTTATTTACTATGTACAGCCCAATATCTCAAATCATAATTTGCCTGAAGTGGCTTTAGAATCTGTAAAACATGTGATATCCTCTGTTCTTAGGCCCTGGATTCGGATAAGGAAAAAGCGCTAATAACCCTCCAAAAAAAACGTAAACAAGAAAAAAATGTAAGAAATCGCAGGAAGAGCAACAGGGGATGAGTAAACTAGTGAGTACAGTTACAAAGCTGCAGAATGAATAAATGGTGGTTATGCCTGCCTTAGTGGATGGTACAGCTTTACACAAAGGTGTTTAATATTTGTTTACATACAAGTGTTTCTGTGGTGAATAGAGAAGGTCATGTATTTAATCCCACTGCCAAACCTTGTAATTAGTAATGTTAATAAAAGTTAATTTAAATTTAATTTAAAACAGAAGTGACAATCAGGTTTGGAGAAGACTTTGGCCACAGTTTAATCCAGGTTTGAATTTAATTAATTAGTGGAATCCATCTGCAGAATATGATGGCAATCTGCACAGGTTGTGTTACTTGGCCTCAAATTATTTATTTTAAGTTTCCCAAACTCTTTAGCAACCAGCAAACATGACCTGCAAATAAACAGGAAATTGTATTCTGTGTAGCCTCAGGCCAAAAGAATTTAGCAACAATTATGTCTTGAAATGTTAGTGAATACAGTACTTGTGAGCAGGATAAAAGATAAACACATGCATGTTTGTGCACGTCTTTAAGATAATCTGGCCTTATGATTTCATAACATAAGGCCATAAGAAAGAGACATGAATCAGTGTGTCCCAATTAATGGATTAGTGCATTTATTAGTAAGAAATTAGTGATTATGTGTTATAATAACACAAAGATTTGTCATTACACAGTACATTTCCCTTTTATATGACATTCAGAAAATATACATTTACAAAGAACTTATGCATTGAAACTCAGAACAAAGGGTGGAATCTCATTTACCAGTGTTGGATGCTGTCAGTCACTTGAAACGGCACTCATATCGATGCACCCTCTGTCTCTGTTATCCTCCCTCTTATGGAGTCAGCTTAAGATCTTAAGCTCAAATTTCTAAAATGAGATTCGACCATGGTCTTACATAGAATATAATACTGCTGATTTGTGACATTCCTGCGTTCCCCCAAAAATATCCAAAACATAAAACTGTCAATGTAAGTTAGTTAATTTGACATCACAACTAAGACAACAGTAAAGAAAAAAAAGGGGGTTTGATAATTTCATTATCATAGTGTGCACTTGATCAAAAAAGGGGGAACCCAAGGTTTCATGTGCACAGTAGTAGTCTGTATTAATTGCAGATAAGACATACGATGCTGAGGCACATTTCAAAACTTGATCCCAATTCGTTTCCAAATTGATGTTTTGAGAGAATTTATTTAAATTGAGCATATGACAAAAATGCATTCATAGTCAAGTTATATCTCCTTCTAAGCTCCTTAAAGGATAAAATCTTCCCGTTCTCTATAATTTGTCAAATTTCTGTAATATTGCTACACTGCCAAGTGTTGTTTAACAGGTTCCCTGCAGCTTTAAAAATAGTTTTTAATGCCCTTTTTTAATAATGTCACATGAGAACTTAACAACACTATTATCTAGCTTTGTAGGTGGAACAGGATACCACACTGATGATAATGAGATTGATTTATTTGTGTCCTTTACAAGGCCCTCCTGCAGCCAATCCCAACTACCTGTGCTTTTCTCCCTTTTATAGCCCTACATTAAAGAGAATCTGGTGTTAAATGCAAGATAGCATAAATACACATCTGGGATTCCAAGACCCCCTTCTATCTCTCTGTAATGATTAATTAATTTTAGGCTTTTTATCCTTCCACAAAAAAGATGAGAACACTCTGTTTATATTATCAAATTAAGATTTTGGAATATACAGAGTAAATGAAGAAAATACAAAAAATAATCTTGGGAGAATGTTCTTCATCAGCACTTAGCTCCACAAGGACAGAGGCAGGGCTGACCCCCTTCTAAGGTCTTCCTTTATAGAGTACATTCAAATCAAATATCTTATTAATAGGTGCTATAATCAATACCTCCAAATATTTCATCCCCTCTGCTTTGCAGATAAAAGGAACTGGTCCAAGATCTGCAATGTATGTACAGTGATTTAAGGATAGGGTTGGGTATTGGTCCAATTTATTTTATAGCCTGAGAGACTGCCGACTGCTTTTGGTATAGAGTGTGATAGATTGGACTAGGTCAACAAAATATCATCTGTATACATTTAATTTAAAATCATGACTACCTTTAAGAACGCCTGTAATTCCCTGCGGATTGCACCAGCTACTGGTTCTAAAGCTAATATAAACGATAATGGAGACAAGGCACGGCTCTGTCTGGTGGAGCGGAAAAGCTGAAAAGGAGTTGAAACCAGGCCATTGCTCCTCACTGATGAGACAGGTTCATGATACAATGCTCCAATCCACTGTAAGCACCTTCGACCAAAACCATATCTAGAAAGAGCATAAAGCAGGTATGGCCCCTCTATTCTGTCAAATACTTTCTCCACACCCAGTGATATTGCTGCCACTGGATGTCAGAGAGAGCTGGCCATGTGTATCATTTGTAGAAGCCTCCTCATATTGTTAGATAAGAGGTATAAAGCCTACCTGATCCAAGTGAATTAGACTGGATACAACTTTCTCTAAACGTTTTGCTAGTATTTTTGCAAAAAGGTAATTATTATTAAGCAAACTTAAAGGCCTATAGTTGTTTACATCCAAATTTCCCAGGTTGGCATGGATTGCTTCTGTGAAACGTCATTATATAAACCAGCACTCAAAAAGTCCTGGTGATTTACCATTTGACAAGCATTTAATAGTGTTGTGAATCTCTACCTCAGAGATGGGGGCCTCAAGTATTTCTTTTTCTTGTTCATTTAACTTTGGCAAAGGTAGATTCATAAAAAGTGTCTATATTGTATTCAGACTTATACAGTGATGAAAAATATCCCTTAAAGTAGTAATTGAAGGCCTCTGTTCAAGTTTTTTCAGTTGGTATGCCAGCATCTTACATGCTTTCATAATGTTTCCTTTTCAATTTATATAGTGTAAAAGTTCAGAGCCTATTCTACTTGAATGTGTTTAAATCTCCACAGTAAAATGTAGTGTGAAGTTCCAGGACATTATAAAAATAAAACTGCTGTGTAATTTAAAGATTATTTAGGATCTATTTTTCAGGTTTATCTATCCCTAAATTGTGTTCTGACTGTGCACCCGGAACTATTTGAAGAAGGCCATTTAAATGCAAATGAAGCATTTATTTGGGAAAAAGACAATTTGGTTTATTCCTGTCCTATTTAACGATTTGATGCAAAGTGTAAATGTTTGATTTATAATTTGTAGCATAAGATGATGCACATACAGTAACTGGATCCATCACAGTCAATGTGCATCTAAGGCACTAAATGTTGATTTTAAGAAGATGTTACTGTTCAGGAAAAATACTGTGATACTTCTGTGCAATGGACAGAGCCTGAGCATGAGGACATGGCATCACTGGCAGTCGAGGGGAACCCAGACACAAGCCTGACAACTCGTTCATCAGCTGTTTGTTGACGCCCAAATCAAAACCTGTCAATGACAATGAGGCTGTTTCAAAGATAAAGAAACGTTATGGTACAAGAGCATGTGTTCATCATATATATATATATATATATATATATATATATATATATATATATATATATATAAACTGGCAGAAAAACATCTTGATAAGACCGTTTCTCACCAAGTTTTGTGGCATAACTGAGGAGCTCTTGCATCTTGAACTGTTTATGAAAATTAGACAAAGATTTTAGCAACTAAAATTGATGCAAAAAATCAATGAGAAGTTGGGGACAACAACAGGGAGATGGGCAGTACCTGTATTGTCCTGGCTTGGACAAGGTCGCCTTTCTCAAATGCTAAAATGAGCTTGTTGACATGACATCCTGCGTAGTTATATGTGCTGCAGGCAAAGTAATGAACAACAGTTCAAATGTTAATAACTATTTATCAGAGAGAATGAAAGGAGACAATGCATTGTGCAGGATTTACACACTGACCTGCCAACTGCTCCGTGGGCTCCCATAGCCAGAGCTGCAAGCAGTTGCTACAGCAAAATAAAAGAAAGCTTGTTTTAGGGTCTATAGTCGAGGTCATATTGCAATATAAGCAACTACAGCACAAAACAGATGAACCAAAGCAGATTGAAAGGGAGAAAAAACACTGACCTCGTCCATGCCGTAGAGGACTGACCAGTGAGGCTGACTGTAGCTGACACACTGGCCAAAGTCCATCAGGTCACTCCCACTGAACTTCACACCTCTGAAGGAGGGAATGAGCTTCTCAATATCTTCCAACACATCTCTCACCGGCACTGAGGAAAAGACAAGAAGACCGTCTGAAATTCAACACGCTTTTACTGTCGATATTGATGCAGAGTCTCTCTATTTCTGAAGGGTATGCAAATGCAAAACGCAAAATCAATCCCCAGTGGCACTAACCGTTAACACCGGTGACAGCTGGGATATGATAATAATAGAAGGGAAGAGTTGGGGCAACTAAAGCCACTTCCTGGAGGAACGTCTTCAACACATCTGAAGCCGGATGAGAAGAAAAAAAAATGTGGGAGATTTCCATTATGGAATGTAGTACTTTATAACTAATAAAGTACAGTATTGACAACTATAACCATCACATACCTGCAGTGCTGGGCTTGAAGAAGGAGGGGGCAATTACTGCTATTGCATCAGCCCCAATCTGTGCTGCATGGCTAGCCTGGAGGGAAAAGTAGCATTGAGAGGAAAATTTTATTTGTAGTTTATACAATCACTCTAGTGTTTGGACCTATGGTTTCATTCCCATTGTTTAAAAAATATCCGTCCAAAACCAAAACCTTCAATCAGCTCAGGTCATGTACTCCACCAGTTGTGTTGTTTTATTTCTTCACATTCAAACTGACAACAGGTTTAAAGGAATAGTTCAACAGATGCTTATTTGCTTTCTGGCAGAGGGGGTTAGGCAAGAAGATTGATAACACTGTCACCATTGTGCTACAAATGTCTTAGCTTAGCTTAAAAACTAGAATAAATGGGAAACAACTAGCCTGGCTCTGTTAAATGTCAACAGAATCAGCCTACCATCACTACTAAAGCTCACCAATTCACATGTTATATCGCATTTGTTCAGTTTTACGGGGATTTATGTGCCAAATTATTTCTTGGCTGGAACCAGTAACTTCTTTCTCCAGTGCTTGCCTGGCAACTGATCAGAGCCATGAAACAGTGTGGCACATATCGCCCGTAAAATGAAAATGCTCCCGAATTGTCGAACCGTTCCTTTAATGTAGATGTAGTATGTCATCACATACTGATTTCTACATATTTCAGGGACACCCGAGTGCCAGATCATTTGAATCAAAGAGCATAAGCTCATTCTAGATGCCAGAGTGTGCCATAATTCAACATTCATACAGAGAAAAGGACATTTTAGAGGTAGAGATACCAGTTTCTACACCTCTGCCCGCTACCCTGAAGAAATATTGTGAAATTTGGAAAAGTTCCAGAGGGTTGTTTCATAAATGTTGGAGGAGAATAAAATACTAAAACAAAAGAAGATTGAAAGATTTCAATAAACAAAGCCATGGGAGAACTTTTGGCAGCATGTTGTTGACCAACTATGAGTTCAAGGTGGATCACGTGTATGTATTAGCTCTATTTTAAATCCCAGTGTATCTAAAAACACATATGATGACTAGAATACTGTGACAGGCTGCAAAAGGTATGAGCTCAGACTGAAAGTATTTTTGGAGAAACCTTTGTGTTTCAGTCTGAAGGATTAACAGTAATGATGGTTAATGTAAAGCTAAGTCTGAAGATAAGTCTGGATGGGATACATTTTCTGATTTTATAACCTGCTCGTCTTGTGAGTAATCATGTGTTTTTGATTAATGTTCACACATCACACACACACGACATGAAAGGCAGCAACTCACCAGTTCTTGGGAATCTTTAAGGCTCATGCAGCCCACATGCACAATCACCTGATCCATTCTGCGCAACCACATGCACACAAAAGAAACGTCAGTCACTGTCAACTTTTTTTCTCCGGTATTAGACTCAACATATGGACAAATCTCCAGATGCTGTGTGATGACTTACTTGCCCTTGGCTTTCTTACACCACTCCTCTGCCAGGATCTTTCTCTCTGTGACGCTGAGAGACATGCTCTCCCCGGTGGTGCCATTCACTGCAAGCAAATAAAAGTTTGTCTTATTTACGTAGCATTTCCTACATCAGAAAAGCACATCTTATATTAAATTAAGTAAAGAGAACAAGCTGACCTGAATCTAGCTCTGATGCATCAACACTCACAAAACAAAACAATGCATTACAGTAAATCATGCCATAAAAATCAACTTAACCCAAAGGAAACAAAAGACATCTAGTTGCATGAAATATAGACAATAAATGCAATAAGTTCATTTATGTCTATATTTCATGCAATTAGGGGGCTACATAGCCAAGCTCAGCCTACTTGGCCCCACCAGACCCTCTGGTGGGGCCCATTCATAAAGAAAACCTCCACCACAGTGGCAGTATGTGCCAGGACAAAACAATTTCATGGGTAATAAGCACGAATGCAGATGATGACAGCAAGATGAGAAAGAACAGGAAAACACGATGAGGTACAAAGATCAGGACAAACATCCTCTGCTGAGTAAGGTCACACGGATAGGTTGTATGGAAATGAAGTGTTAACACAGAGATAAACTTAGCACAAATTCTGATGATTCATTGGGTTTGAGAACAGTGTGAAATTAAACAGTAATCACTTCTGACACACAGGAAACACTGACAAGCCTTGATCAATGCAGAGAAAAGGACAGACTTTATATCTTTATTTAATATTTCTCAGTGTGTCCGTGTCAAGGTTGTTAGTGTGGAACAGATTGATACAAACCAAAGCCTGAGACAAAACAATATGTAACACTCAAAGAATTGAGTTCTTTAGTTTGACGGTAGACTTTTAATGTAGGAACATCAGCAAAAAGCTAATGGTGAAATCACTGTGAATCATACACTATGAAGCAACGTATTTCATTAACAGCTCTACAGAGTGGAGTATTAACAGACTGAATTTAATATGTATTATGTGGCTAAAAAGGTCAATAAAACTATTATTAAAGTGATTTGTCGTTCTATTATAATCATAAACTAACTGACTAGGTTTGGTTTGGTGTCCCAGGGTGTTACCAACACAAAAGCCTGACTCAGCAACTTTTTTTTTTTTTTTGATTAACGTGGTTAACAGACAAGTGACACATGAACTGTCTACAAACCTACAAGATGAAACATGCAATATCAGGTTGATTCAAATGGGAACACAGACAAACACAAATATCAAAAGGAAGAATTTTCATGTAAACTTACCAAATATGCTATTTATACCTTGCTTCTCTGTCAAGTAGTCAATATAAGGTCCAATCTCTGATAGGTTGATTTCACTGTTTTGAGAAAACGTGAAAAACATAGGCCTACACATTTGGCAAAAAGAATACCAAACATGCTACAGTAGGCCTACTCCAGAGGGCTGTAGTACGAAGCAAGGTCACTGACTCATCCATCCATAACTCTGTGGCCTCAGCTGTAACTCCCAGGTTAACTACAAAAAGGTGGATAAGTTTCACCCGAGGTGTGTTGTCATCGCAATTTACTCTCCATGTCTAAACTGCTTCGAGCGGGTTATCTTCCTGGTTAACTCGATGTTACTCTGTAAACCTCCTCCAGCCACAATCTGTGGAGGAAAATACCGGCACGTTTTGAAGACGCTGGTGCTCGGATTGTGAGAGGCTCACTGAGGAGGACGAGGGTGTTAGGAGACCATCTAGTTTACCCTGATGATGTTCTCTATGAAGTACATCGATTCTCATCTGAGGGAATTCAGTATCTGTTCAGTATCTATGCTGGCTTCTAGGGCCATAATGCATCTGTTATGTTCCCATTTAATCGTTATAAAGATCAACAAGGCTGTTTATGTACTTACAGGTAATTATATTTAGAAAGTAAAGACATTCCTTTTAATATACACAGACTAGACACTTTATTTCCAGAGGGTGCAACTTATTCTAGCGTTACATTCACATAGGAAGTCCTTCATCCTCTGTGATCTAGATCTTAAATCAGGGCTTAAAGTTCTCAGGCAGCATGTCTGATTTAAGGCGTAGAGCCATTTGAAATTCATAGAATACCTCAAATTAAATACACTGTACACAGATAACTTTTCAGGCTCACTTTCTTGCTTTAATCCCTGTTAGGGCCAACTTCTGATATTTGTTTTTGTTCATTTACCACTTTAATCTCGGAAATCTGATTGCTTGTCAATCATATCACGAATAAAAGAAGATAAAATAGAGATAAATAGATAACCTACCACATGAACACTGTAATGTTACTTATGAATATACTGTGTGGGCATTGTCAACAAGCATCACTGCCACTGTTGGCACCTACTGCAGTGAGATTATTAAGATAACTTTTTAGGAATACTCATATCCTGATATTATCATTGCATATTCTTCTGACATTTTTCCCGCAGCAGAACACGCCTCTTTCACCTCTACACGCACAACCTCAGAGTAAGTTGACACCGACCTAACTAACATAGTTGTACCGTCTTACACCAGTGTGGGTAGTCTGTCCCCGGCTCCCTTCGTACAACAGCCCTCAGATCTACGGGAGTTTATGATGGCCAGATGTGTCCACACTCATTCCCCCATTCTTAACTTCTTACAGGGGAACTGAATGCGCGCACACACACACACACACACACACACACACACACACACACAAAAACACACACACACACAAAAACACACACACCAAACACATAAATGCTGAGACAGATAAAGGGAAGTGATTTCTTAAATGCTGCTTACCCCTGAGTGGTGAAGGGAGTAAATGTGGCTGCAACCAGCCCTGTCAGCTTTTCCAGAGCAGCAGGAGCCATAGCTGACATAACTACCTGACATCCAAACAGACATGTCGGACATGTTATATAGGTAGAAAGAAAGACAGGAGAGACGTGAAGACAGGAAGAATGAGGTGCAAAAGAAAGAGCGAAAGAAGCTATTGGAGCATATTTTCATAAATTCAAATTCATTCATAATTGTTACATCATGCACTTATGGATACAGGTTATGTAAATAATAAAGACATACATAGAGGTTGTAGCGATACATTATATGAAGGGGAAATTCACACATACCGTCCAAAACTGTGAAATGAATAAAATTTCAGCTCCAGCCTACCGGTAATGGCTTCTCCTTCAGTACGTTGTGGACATCTGTTTTGTTTTTTGGGGAAGTAGGTTACTGGTTTTAACTTGCTTTATGGACACCGTTCAGGGATTTGTTGCTATACCTATCACGTGAAACCGTCAGAGCGTCAAATGACACCGCCAAGCTTCATGGGAAATGGAGTTAAGGAACGGAAAACACGAAAATAAACCTAGATAAACATTAAATTCCTACAATTGTGCATGAGGAGATATCCAAATCACATTTCCCGTGTTTCCAATAGCTTTGAAACGTATTCAGGGGTTTGTATGTTGTTATTCTATCATTTACGAGACATTAGCGCTGCTTTAAATGCAGTCAGGACAATTTTGGTTTAATGTTAAAATGTCCAAAAGCTTGTACAAACAAAGTGATACACAAGTAAAATGGAAGTCACCTATAACGCTACACAATCCATGCATCCATAATGATATCCAAGGAGCTGAAATGTTCCTTTTTGTGGGCAGATGGCATATAAACTATGTCAAACAAGCTGCTCACGTTAATGGTGAACAAGTAGCATTTAATAATTGAGTCCACGTAAAAATTACCATGGAGTTTTATTATTTTAAAGACATTGTACTCTTCGAGTTATATATATTATTATGGGTTACATTTTTGTATTACCGTACTTAGAAATATAAGCACTAGGTTGCGCGAAAGTGGGTTTTTCCGAACTTTTATGATCAGCACTGAAAGGCAACACCAGTGAGAGTGGTCGGGCCAAATATATCCGACGTTTATTTTCCGTAGCTTGGACTTTCAGGAAGCCCCTCCACCTATTTGTTTGTACGTAAAACCTCTTCGAAACAATTCGAACAATTGGTTATGCTTATATCTGCGTTATATACGCTCCATAGCAGGATTACGACCATGTCTAGATCTACGTTTAAAAATCCCAACAAAGGAGAAGCGATGGTCAGCCTTACAGAACCGGCTGCCTGAGGAGCAAAACTCAGGAGAAATTAAACCCACTGCATTTATCCAGGAAGCGGATGTTGTTGACGTTTTCATCGTATCGGTATCCGGTTTTGAAGACAGCCTAGCTTGGCCAAACAGTAGCATACGGCGAAATTATTCACTGAAAACCCCGAAGGACAGAAACGATAGCCCGGTCGGGTCCGCTGCTGAACAATGGACGCGACTTTTGTCGATATGTCTTGTATTGTCGGTCTATCCGCTGTCGCCGGCTCGTCTAGTTAGCACAGCTGGCTAACTGGCTAATGAACTGTTAAACCCTGACAAGTGCTCGGCTGCTTGTCTGACTTACCTGGCAAGAGGAGGAAATAATTAACTTACATCTTCACAGTTGACACATCCGAGTCATGACGGGAGCTGGTACAAAGGGGAGCTTTAAAGAACTTGTAGTTGAATTGACTGTGGGTTGTGTGGGGTAAGTGGACGGTTTGAGAGGGGGTATTATAGACACAGGAGGGGGTATTATAGACACAGGAGGGGGTATTATAGACACAGGAGGGGGTATTATAAACACAGGAATAAGACAGGGACTGTTAGCGCTGCTCGGTTTGTTCTTAAATATAATGATGTGTCTTGATAACCTGAAAAAGGCTTGAGTTTTTCTTTGATTGCTGTTTCGTGAAGACCACATTTAGAAAATAAAATTATTCTAATGTTCATGTGTAAGTCTTTAGGGCGGATTTAGGGCAGAGTTGCACGTAAGGTGTAGTGTTTTGCACGTCAACGTGTCACAGCCGTGTAGGTCCGGGTGACAGCTTGGAAAAGTAAACAGGTGTGACACACCGACCTGGTTACAGGACTTGGAGGAAAAACTTTGCACTACAACTAATGGTACATGGCCTTCAGTGACTCTTAGATATCTGATTACTTGAAAAAGAAAAACTAAAATTAAACTATTTAATTGCAGTGTAGGCTGCAACACCTGTTTACACCTGAGGATACACAGATGGAGTTTAAGTGGCCAAGATTGAGCACCACACTAGGATGATTTCATGATGCCTGTACCCATTGATGATTAGGTGGTACATCTTACGCAAAGCCAAGAAGTGCTTTAACATGATCTCACAGGTATAGCATTAATGGGATGGTGTAGGTTTATGACTCTAATGTGCTTTTGTTTGTTTGAGCGGTTTAGTTAGGGCAGTGATAATGAATTGGTATTTGCTCAGTGACTGTCTGAGAGCCAAGCTGTAGTTGTGTGTATACTGCTGCGATCTTGCCCAGCTACCACAATGCCAGCTGTACTGTTCTTTTCGATGCTCCTCGGAGCAATATGCAGCCAGGGACAGGCCATGTCACGGGAGGAGAAGAGCAGGTTAAGGTGAGTTCAGAAGAACACACAGCATACCCCAGAGCGTAATGTGAGGATAAACATATTCACCCCTGAAGAGATGTTACACACGTTGCTGACTTGTGTCTGTGTTTTCCCCCTCCCCATAAGGAACCAAGTGGTTGAGATGTTTGACCATGCATATCAGAATTATATGGTAAGTGATCTATTTATTTATTTTCATTTCATTCATTTTATTTTTTTGAGTAATAGGAATTTCTAGTTTGAATAAGTCTTTTTGAAGCAGCCTTGAGATTTGGATTTTATTCAAGATAGATATTCAAGACAACTTGCTCTTCCCTACCCATACTGGCCCATATTATAGTAGAATAAACAATATATTATCTTGGTTATGGTTAATTATAGAACCATAATTACACTTTTTAAATGTGTTGTTTTTTTTTAATTAAAGATAAAAACATGGTGTTAAAAGTGTCTGTGTGTGTTTCCCAGGACCACGCATACCCAGCAGATGAGCTGATGCCACTAACATGCAGAGGAAGAGTACGTGGGCTTGAACCCAGTCGAGGTGACATAGATGACGCTCTGGGAAAGTGAGTAGCATGCTGCCTTTGTTCTTTGAGAGCTAAAGTGTTAACGGAGCAATGATGATGTGGATCCTTGCGCACACACTGTCCACACACACATTACCACAGCTCGCCGAGGTAGATTGTACTTAAACACGCTAAACAAACATCATTATGGGAAATGTTTTAAAACGATTATTATGAGGGACAATTAACACCCTTGGTTAACAGTTTTTATCTCTCTTTGATAGGTTCTCTCTGACCCTCATAGACACTCTGGATACTCTGGTGGTGAGTTTTGTATTTTTGATGCTTGGTTAGTGTAATTTTGAGGCGGCATTTAAATGAATAGGACTGAACACAGTGGAAGTATTGATGATTTTGGAGTAATGTATTATATGCACTGTACATTGTACTTAATTTTATCAAAGCTTTTAATTTAATGTTTCTGGGGTCAACCTTCTGCAGAATACTATGTTTCAGTGAATGTTTACACCATGAAATGGTGTATAATTAAGATGTTCATCGTCATGTATTATTTCTCATTGCCAGCTTTTGAACAAGACGACAGAGTTTGAGGCTGCAGTGAGGAGAGTACTGTCAGATGTGAGGCTGGACAATGACATCGTGGTGTCAGTCTTTGAAACTAACATTCGGGTTCTTGGGTAAGATTGGACTGGAATATCAACAAACATTAATATATAAATAAACTGTTAATGTACTGTACCACATTTTATACTACCTATGACTCCCTTAATATCCACGGGTCCTCGGTGGAGAGGGGGGGATGCCTTCAAGTACCGTGGTGTGTTTTATTGACTTTCTCAAAGAGAGCAAACACAACAGCTGTCCAATAGACTTCAGTGATAAAGGATTCTGCTGTACTATATTGTTAAAATGTTGTTTTTGTGTGTTTTCAGAGGTCTGCTGGGAGGGCACTCGATGGCTGTGATGCTGAAGGAAGGAGGTCAACACATGCAGTGGTACCAGGATGAGCTCCTGCACATGGCCAAAGACCTGGGCCTCCGACTGCTGCCAGCCTTCAACACCAGCAGTGGCCTGCCTTATCCGAGGGTGAGACAAACACAGACATAAATTCAACCCCTTAATAACAAGGAAACCTACATGCACTGTGGGGAGGTTGTTTACATACCGGTCATTGTTAGACCCATATTATTCAGTTTTTCAAGGTTTTATTTTTGAGTATTGCATAAGAATTCATCTTGAATAAAACAATGTCTATATTAAACATATTTGATCTTATCACATATTTCCCAGGTTGCAGTATGACAGATTTGCGCTCTCTCAGATCATGACCACATATTTTCATTTTCTGCTTCACCGCTCTGCCCGCAGCTGTCACAGCTTTTGAATGCAGGCATTTTCATGTCTGACTAGTTTTCATGCACATTCTCTTACAAACCAAATGTGACTCAAAACAGATTGTGTCATGTATTTTTTCCCCCCTGCTTTACAGGTGAACTTGAAACATGGTGTCAGGGGTCCTGAGACGAGAACAGGCACAGAAACAGACACCTGTACTGCCTGTGCGGGAACCATCATCCTGGAGTTTGCTGCCTTAAGTCGCTTCACTGGGGATCCTGTGTTTGAGGTATCACATTTTCATCAGACGATAACAAATTCATATGCTTACATTAGTACGTTGTAATTTATGATTTATTGGAAGTTTTAAAAGCAGATGTTTAAGATTTTAATGTCTGAACACTGCAAATGCTTTGACCACATTGGTAGTAAGAAAATCATTTCAAATATCAACAATCAAAACTTACTCTGGGGTTCAATAAATTATTATAAATAAGGACGCAATATATTCATCCAGCATATCTAAAAAGGAAGCCATCAGCAGATATAAACAGCCACACCCTCAAGCGGCTCATCTTTCTTTGTTTATCTGTAATCCAGGTTATGCTTTGTCATTTGATCTTTTTTTCAGGTTGTTGAGACTTGGTTTTATGAAACTACCTTGTTGTTTGATGACACACTGTGTGAAATATGGTATTTGCCATGTATCTAATGTATTCAGTGAGATCTCATTCAGTGTCCTAATCCCCCTATTTTACTGTTCACCTCTTTACAATGCTCCTATAATCATATATATTGATGATAAATTAGGTGTAGCATATTAATCACTTTAATGATTAATGATGATTAATTTAACCCTAATGTCAGAGAAAACCTGAACACCCAAAGACCCTCTGATCTAATTGTGCAGTTTGTATTGTAGTTTGTGACAATCTTCTTAGTTGTCTCTCTACTTTTCATTAATCCTGGGGGCAACTGAACACATTTAGTGTAACTGGGGATACTGGGGCTTATTCACCTCTCTTAAGAAGATACAGTACTTTGTTAATACCTTTTTTCCAATGTCATCCAATACCCTCATGTTCACCAAGAACAATGAATTCAGCAGTCATTAATTCTATGATTCACACATGTGCTTTTCCTACTGTAACGTGTCACAATGTCGTGCGTGAAAAAGACCTAGTCGTGAAATACTGATGAAGGCTAAAATAA